GAAAAATAACATTATTATACTCTAAAAGTACTGATATTTTATACTTTAAAGCGTAATTTTGTAAAAAATAAGTTCAGTAAGTGAAGTGTTATAATAATCATGGAACACGCACGACCACCATCGGAATTAGTACTTGAAGGTGGTCCGGCTGCAAGGTCCGACGCGTGGCGAAAATGGTCTAAACAATTTATGGTGTTTATGAAGGCCTCTGGAGTTTATAAAGAGAGTACGGATGTCAAATCAAGTTTACTGGTGAATTTGATTGGATCCGACGGGTACGACATATACACAACATTTAAATACGATAAAAATGAAAATCAGGAGGACTTTGATATTCTCATAAATAAATTTAACGAACATTTTGGTATGAAAAAGAACACCACTATGGCTAGATTCAAATTTTTCACGAGAAACCAAGAGAGAGGTGAAACTATAGATGAGTATGTGACCGCTCTGAAGCTTCTTACGCAGTCGTGTGAATTCGAACATCTGGAGGAAGGTCTCATACGTGACCGAATCGTGTGTGGTGTGACCGACAGCAAGCTGCGTGACCGTCTACTTAGAGAAGACGATCTCGACCTGGGACGTGCCGTGAAAATCTGTCAAGCTAGTGAGATGACCGCGGAGGAACAACGTCAGATAGAAAACGCCAAGTGTGGGACCGAAGCGGGCACATCGTCGGCTGTGGACGTAGTATATGGAGCACGAACGGAGCAACAATGGGGAGCCAGCAGGTACCCGCGCGGCGGCCGCCAGGCGAGGCGAGGCCGCGGGCGGCTGGGCGCGCCTGTTGCGGACGGCGCGGCGGCGGCGGCTCGCGGGTGTGCGGCCTGTGGCTCGGCGCGCTGTCAAGGAGGCTCACAGTGCTCCGCCAAAAGTGTTAAGTGTTTTTCGTGTCATGAAATAGGCCATTTCAAACGGATGTGTCCGGGTAAGCGTTATAAAAATAAAATATATCATATAAAAGAAAGTGCTAGTGATAGTGACGACGAACTATATTACGTTTCTACACTGGACGGAAATTCTGGCAATAAGAACTGTAAGTGGTACGAAACCTTGTCATTAGTTAGTAATAATAGTAAACAAGTATTCAAATTAGACACAGGGTCGGATTTAAACGTCATGTCAATTAAAACTTTTTTAAATTTGGGTTTGAATACTTCATGTCTGTCTCCTGACAAAACTAAAGCACAGTCTTTTTGTGGTAATTATATTCCTATCATCGGGTCTTGCTATATCGACTGGATTTATAAAAATCGTAAATACAATCTTTATTTTATAATCTCTGATCAAAATTGTCAGAGTGTATTGGGCAAAAATGCTTGTGATGAATTAGGTTTAGTAAGACGAATATTTGCCATAAATATAGACGATTATGATGATCTTTTTCAAGGTGTAAAGTTACCAGGTAAGTACAGTATTATCACAGAAATAGGAGCACAACCAGTAGTGTGTCCAGTGAGAAAAATACCTTTAGGTGTCAAGGATAAATTATTTTTAGAATTAGAACGAATGGAGAAGCTGGGGTGATTAGAAAGGTAGCACATCTGCTATAGTTGTAGTGGCGAAAAAAGATGGCAGCATTCGCTTGTGCCTAGATCCTCGATCACTAAACCGCGTAGTACACCGCGCGCATTATCCCCTTCCGACTGTTACAGAGATAGCTGCGAAATTGAAAGGAGCACGATTTTTTAGTAAACTGGATGCTCGTTCTGGTTTCTGGATGGTTCAGCTAGATAACCGAAGCGCAGACCTATGTACGTTTGGAACGCCTTTTGGCAGATACCAATTTTTGCGTTTACCGTATGGTATCAACTGCGCTTCGGAAGTGTTTCATGCAAAGGTACGGGAGCTCTTAGAGGACCTCGTAGGCGTGGACTCATTCGTAGATGACATTATAGTCTGGGGATCTGATAAGACACAGCATGATGAACGGTTAAAAATGTTACTAGATAGGGCACGTCAAGTTGGTATAAAATTTAACAGAGCTAAATGTGAATTCTGTGTACCACAAGTTACTTACTTAGGACACAAGTTTAATTCAGAAGGTATGCATGTAGACAATAATAAGTTAAAAGCAATTAAGGACATGCCTAAGCCACAGGATCGGAAGTCATTAGAACGTTTTCTTGGAATGATAAATTATCTTTCAAAATTTATACCTAATTATTCTCAGGTAGCCTCCCCGTTACGTCAATTATTAAAAAAAGACACAGTATGGCAGTGGGACTCCATACACGACGCGGCTGTACAGCGATTAAAAGAATTAGTGTGCGGTGCGCCTGTGCTAGCTTTATACTCGTTGACAGAACCGGTCGTGTTATCAGTGGACGCAAGTTCGTGCGCGCTCGGCGCAGTGTTGCTTCAGGGAGGCCGTCCGGTCGAGTTCGCCTCCTCAACGCTCACCGAAACACAGAGTCGCTATGCACAGATAGAAAAAGAGTTGTTGGCGATAGTATATGCTTTAGAACGGTTTCACCAATATATTTTTGGCAGAAAAAATGTAGTAGTCGAAACAGATCACAAACCTTTAGAAGCCTTATTTAATAAATCTTTGAATTCTGTTCCGGCTCGGTTACAACGGATGATGCTTCGCGCACAAGCATATAATTTTAAAGTCATTTATAAACCGGGCAAATATATGCATATCGCCGATGCATTGTCGCGAGCGCCGTTAAGCGAATTAATGAAAGATCATATATCAGACGAAATAACAGAACAGTCTTGTTTTTTAATACAAAATATTCGATTCAGTGACAGTAAAATAAGAGCTGTGCGCGATGCTACTGAGAAAGATGATGAATGTAAGTCAATAATACGATACATAATGAGGGGATGGCCGAGTAATAAATTTGATGTAGACGAACTAGTTCGTAGTCAGTGGTCATATAACGAAAGTTTCGAATATATAGACGGTATAATTTTTAAAGACAACCTGGTGTATATACCGCGTAGTTTGCGCGCGGAAATGATTCAGCGGGTGCACGACGGTCACATGGGAATCGACCGGTGCAAGCGGCACGCGCGCGACGTGATGTTTTGGCCGGGCATGTCTCGCGACGTGGAGCGCGCCGTGCGCCGGTGCGCGGCGTGCGTCGAGCGCGCCCACCGCCCGCCGCGGGAGCCGCTCGTGCCGCACAACATACCGGACCTGCCCTGGGCCAAAGTCGGCTCAGACTTATTCCAATGCGGTAAAAAATATTTTCTTTTACTCGTCGATTATTTTTCAAACTTCATAGAAGTAAGTCCGCTGACTAGTATCAATAGTAAAGCTGTAATTCTCGCAATGAAAGATCACTTCTCTAGGCACGGGATACCGCAGGAACTCGTAACTGATAACGGTCCGGCGTATGCTTCAAAAGAATTCAAAATGTTTAGTGAAAGTTGGGATTTCGACCACACTACTACTTCACCTAATTATCCTCAATCGAACGGTCGTAGTGAACGTAGTGTACAGATTATTAAAAATATTCTCATTAAATCCATGAAGTCGGGTACAGATTTTTATTTGGGTCTTCTTAATTTTAGAGCGACTCCACGAGATGGTATAGACGCTCCATCACAATTATTAATGGGACGAAGGCTAAATACCAGGTTACCGTCGCACATTTGTAAGTTGTATCCGTTTCGTGATAATACGAATCAATATAAAACTATTATAAGTAAGCAGAATAATAATAAACAATACTACGACAAACATGCACGCGATTTACCCGAATTACGGCCGGGGAATCTGTTATAATGATAGATGGATACGGAAACGACCGAAAAAGGGCACGAGTGGATGCACGATCATCACAACCGCGATCGTATTTTGTTAGTGATGACTCGGGTAGGCGTTACAGGCGAAATAGGCGACACCTGATACAGGTTGCAAAAACTGAAATGGGCAAAAGTGATAATCTAGAAGGAGACGAGGAAAGATGGTCAAGTGCGGAGAGTGAGGGTGACGAATGTTATTCATATCAAAAGGTAGATAAAAATACAGCAAATACAGAACAAGATCTTGTAAAAAACCATTTGTCTAATTGTAAAAACCAGAAGCGTACCCCCAGACAGGCGGCAGCCGTAGCTAAGCATGAAATAAAAAAAATGTATAATTAAGTAGTAAGTATTGGAATTAAAATTTTAATACATATACAATAAATTACGATGATTCAGTGTTGCTTAAAATTATAAGATTATTTAAAAGTGTTATTCTAAAAGTTCAATGATATAAAAAATGAATTGCTTAGTTGTATTGTAAGTATACATATATCACCTGTATGTAAGTGTTATAGATAATATTTATTACGATATTAGAATCTTGAAAGTGGCATGTTGAATATATATATGTATAAAATAATATTAATAACCTATTTCAGATTTAGAAATAGTGCTTATTCATGAATATATTACGTTATTACTTTAAGGGATACATGTAGTAATAATTTTATAATATTAATTTATGTGGGTATGTTGCACGGTTTGTGTTGCTTTAGTATATAGAATTACCTCATTAAATAAAATCAGTTCGAGAATGATCTGACGTTTTACTACAGTCAAGTTTTTATTATTTCTGAGAGTTTACGGCCATGCAAAATGATATCGAATCACAGCAGTAATGATCGTTTTACTGACTTTCATACAAATTATCTTCAAAGCAAATAAGTATCTATTTACCTAAGATTAATTATAATTAATTTGTCTATGGTATTTACATACAATGTGTATGTAAATACCATAGACTAAGTCATTTCAAATGAAAATTAATTGTCACATAAATAAAAAGTATAATCATTTTTTTACTGAACAATCCTAGTATTGGATATAATTAATTTTAATTATATTTTTTAGAGAATATTTATTTTACTACCTATTAGTACAATAGTTTATGGTTCATACACGTAGTTAGAAAAGATCTTTGTGAGGAAACAGTGGCAAAGAATGGCTGAGGTTTTAAAAACATGTGTGCAGTACTAGTGATAATAAAAAACGTTAATATTACATATTTACTCAAGTATATTAACATCAAACATCGTAATACATGTAGTCCATAAGCAAAGTTGCAGCCAAAAGTAACGCTTTCTGCTCTACAGTGAGATCTTTATCAAAGGCCACTCCGAACCTGGAAATAAAAAAACTCCTAAACCATACTGATTATAATTTCGCCATGTCCAAAACATTTTGTTACTAGATTGTTTGATATTCGAATAACATTTTTAAAATTAATAAGTTACAATCAATATTTTATACAATTACTAGTAGACCTGGCCATGCGTTGCTGTTGCTAAGGTTCTTGAATAAAATATTGCGACTATAAATTAAGATGTAAGCTATCCTCTATCTTTTAAGTTAAATCAAATTGCACACAATGTGCAAAACAAATTTGCAATCGGTTCAGTAGTTTAGGAGTCCATTGCGGATAAACTACGTGATATGTAATTTTTATATATAAAGATGGTAAGTAAAAAAAATCTACTATCACTTTGAAATATATTTTATTTACCCTTTGTACATATGATTGTACTTAATCTACACAAATAAATATAATTGAATATTCTGTTCGTAATATCAATTAACAGCTTTTCACTATATGCTCATGAAAGTATATACGATACTTACATAAAAAAATATGAAAATTTGTTTTCGTCTGTCTGTCGTTTGTTCTTGCTAATGTCTAAAATGACTGGACCGATTTTGGCGGGACTTTCAATCGCAGGTAGCTAATTTTTGGAGGAGTAACATACTACTTTTATTTTAGAAATGTTATTTATTTTAATAATAAAACTTAAATTCCACTTGGATAAATAGAAGAACTAATTCTTAATCTAAAGAGAATTGCTGACATCCTAACACCTACCTACAGAAATAGACACCATAGGCATATAGATTCTAGCTTTCAATAAGACGAAGAATAATCTAGAATAATGTATTTAATGCAACTATATCAATAAACCATTCCGTACATTACTTTTTAAAATTATGTTTAATACTAAAGCATCAAGAATTTATTTTACTTTTAGCATAACACTACTTAGTTCTCTAAGAAACTGTTGTATAAGAGATCTAACATCTTAGTGCTTTGGCAACGCATGAGTATCACGGATGTCACATGATAACGTGATGTCCACAGTGCTGTCCACATATGTAGGTGACGGTTATCACTTACCATCAGATGGGCTGTCAATTTATTTACCATTACCAATTACATATATAAAGAACGGTACCTGTCCGTAACTGGTGCTAAGAATAATGCATGTGTTAAACCCTGCCAGCGCTTGCAGGTGCCACCAATGGTAGTCCCATCAGGTCTGGTGATGTCGAACTGCACGTCTTTGAATAAACTCAGGGTCATGTATGGACCTGCATAAACGGTCATCCATGTATGAATTTAACGAGTTCTACTACACAACGGAATGTTCATCAGAATTGTATGACATGATACCTACGGCTATCTTTTACTATCGCACCGCTCGCCATCGATAGGGAAGTCACCCCTACACGCTGAAACCTAAATGGTCTCAGACAGTGCGGTTTCATAGAGACTTCTTCCCGTGTAAAAGTTTCTTAAGGATCGTTTTATTGAGGCTACCATAGTGTTCAGTAACCGTTTATCATCAGATGGCCGTATGCTTGTTTGCCATAAATGTAGTATATAAAAGCTGAGGGAATTGATAAGGTTAAAATACAAGATAAGGGGCAGAATATCTTAGTAGACGTGATGTTGGTGAAAAATGGCGACCCATCAAATGAGTCGTCGGTAACCATGGAGGTGTCCATGGGTAACTGACGGCCGGCTTTTTAACGACGGTTTAATTTTACCAACATCAAGCGAATTGTCACTATGTTGCCCACCTTTTAAGAAGGAATAAGCTCTTTTCTTGAAGTTTTCAACATGGTATCGATTTGGAAATGCCTTTGCTGGATCAGGGAATTGCCACTATGGTGTTTGCCTTTTAAGAAGGAATAAGTTCTTTTCTTGAAGATTTCAATATCGTATAGGTTGTCCCATTACTGGATCATCCACAATGTGGTTATCACTTAATATCAGTTGGGTCGTCAATTTGATTACCATTCACTGTAGAAATGTAACAAACCTCGTATCCAAAACAAATGAAATCCGTCACTATCTTTAACGAGGTACAAAGGTCTGATTGCAGTCCACTGTTGCTCTATAGTTCCTATAGAACATCCGGGCGGCGCGAACACTTCGATACGTTGGAGTTGGCATGGTAAAACCCTGGCAGTGCAGGCGTAAGGTCTGGTTATCCTCATAACCTCTGCACCTTCTCCATCAGTGACCCTGAGCTGCAGTGGTCGGAGACCGTAGAGGAAGTACCCGACCCACCAACTGTAAAATTTCATGCAAATATAAGTTCTAGTGTGCGCCTCCTACCTTCTCTGTCTAAGGAAATACTTTCTGTCAACACCAAGTTGTCTGTAAGAGATCGCTATTTAGAATATAGAATAGAATAGAATAGAATAGAAAATCATTTATTCAAATAAACTTAATTTAAGCACTTTTGAATAGTCAACATATTTTTTTATCTACCGCTCGTTCGGTTAGCGATAAGACCGCCTTTTCTAAAACACTTTTAATATGCTTTTATTGTTGTTTATTTATCTGTGTGCAATAAGGAGCTATTATTAAAAAATCATGTTATTTTATAGCACAGGGGACAAATGAGTTTGCGGCTCACGTGCTGGGAACTTATTGCCGCCGCTCAAGAGCACTCGCAACATCAGGGGAATTTCAAGTGAGTTGCCGGCCTTTTAAGAAGGAATACGCTGATATGGTTTGACTGATGGTAAGAGACTAATTTAAACGACAAACATGATGTCCACCTAACGTATAGCCTATTTCCTTCAAAATAGAGTTTTATTTCCTTTTAATAAAATACATTTTTATGATTTACTAGCTGTGTCTACGGTTTAGCAGCGTGAAATTTATAGCCCATATGTTATTCTGATGTATAAGCTATATTACTGTAAAGTTTCATCAATATCCGTTCAGTAGTTTTTGCATAAACTTTCGCGTTTATAATATTAGTAAGACGTAAAAGCTATCTCAGACAAGCAAGCATATGCAAGACAACTGTACTACATAACATACATAGTTTACTGCAGTCTAAGTTTTGATAGTCAGTTTAATTCTTTAACTATAAATAAGAAAATAAACCTATTCTCTTCCTCGACGGTGTAAACGAGTTCTTTTTCGGGTGTTCTTATATAAAACCTGTTCTTCTTGCCCCTCAGGAATAAGACAGTCTTCACTCGGAGACGCTTGGTGATGAAGAGTCGGTCTACTGAAGATAACTCGTGGAGTAGATGTGGCGTTGGGACCTGATATATTATTTATATTTTTTTTACACATCTCCCTTTTTGGTACGAATTACCACGGCGGTACGAATTACCCCCGTGGTAATTCGTACCAACACGCGGGCCTTAGCCAAACGTGGATGAGTTTAAAAGTTTTATGAGGATGATAAAAGTGATGACGAAAGAAATTTCCTTACAATGCGGCATTTGTAGAGAATGACGTTTTTTGTAATAGGTCTATTGTAGAGGAGGGGATTCGCAACGTGTCTAGGTGTTTGCTAAGACTTGGTATAATTCCTGTGGATGACAGAACTATTGGTACTATATGGATGGTGTGTGCTTTCCATTGTTTTTTTAATTATAGTATATGTATCACAAAATGGTTGCATCTTGAAATCTACAAGTTCTATGCATTACCTATAAAGTTCTTATGCAAGTAATTTTAATGAAATATCTAATTTAATATTGTTTTATAACTGTTCTAATAATTATTATTTTAATATTATTGTTATATTTAGCGAGGAAGTGTATATTAACCCTAACTTTATTTATAATCTGTGTCAATGTTGCATATGATTAATCTGTGCAGGATACCGACATGTAATACTTTCTTTTGAGGGGAAGGAGATTGTTAGTAATATGGACTCATAACCCATGACCATATTACTAGCAAAGTACCATGTCAGGTTGACCACCACGCGATTCTCCCTGGAAATCATCATGATAAATTCCTGGTGAATTTGTCACAATGGGCTAACTGACCTGACCTCATGTTCATCTTATCATCCTCCACTGGTGCCTCGCCAGTGTAAACCATTAGCGCAGGCGGGTGCACCATTCCATTATCATCTATAAAAAAAACTTTCTCTTTCTTATGTTCTCTCTCTCTTGTGTAAAATCCTTGTACTGTGCGACATGTTTTGTTGCTTTGTTTCTACTAAATAAATTCTGTACGTGAATTATATAAAACTGCGTATCTTTTAACTGCTAACAACAACAATTATTAATGTTGCAATTATCTGGAGTGAATTGAAATATGCATATATTAAGCTATGGTGAAAACATTTTGTTACATTATTTACATACTAGTATTCCGTCTTCGGTTTTGCTGCCAGCCTTGATTTTATTTTGCGGGATGTCTTGATTTGTATCCGGTACTTTTACCTGTTACATTCACTTCTATTAATTTTATTTCGTTATTATCTAATTTAATTAATTCGTAAATAAAAATTTTATAAGTGTGACTGTCTGTTAGGTTTTTTTGGCTAAACTTTTTAGCGAGTATTTATTAATCTTAAATTTATGACAGACTAGCTGACCCAGATATTTTTTTTTAATTATAGTCTGTCTTTTCCTGATAAATTACCAACTAACATAAAAATGCAAAATTTTAGACTTTTTAAATCTAGACTTTATAATTGGTTATTAGAAAATTGTTTTTATAGTATTAAGGATTTTTTTGACATGTAAAATATTGTTAGTTTTGAGATATTTTAATATATAAACAATTTAATTTAATTATTAGAAATATTTTAAAAATTAATTCAATTTATAAAACTAAGCAGGCTGAATACATTGAAAGAATATTCATATTGTAAGACCTACTTGTAACATTGTATTCTGCAAATAAATAAATAAATGTATAAGCTATATTATTGTAATGTTTAATCAAAATCCGTTCAGTAGTTTTTTTGTGAAAGAGTAACAAACATCCATACTCAAGAACTTTTGCGTTTATAACAATCACTAACATGTATAATTTAATACTACAAAGCGACTATAACATTTCATATATTTGTTTATTTAATTAAATTTGTATAATTAACATTAACTTTATGGATTTAGAAGTACTTATTTATTTCGTTAATACCATATTACCGTACCGTAGTGCAGTTTTATGACTGCCTTGGTGGTCTAGCGCTTTAGCAGACCTTTTTACTTTCGATGGTCGCGGGTTCAATTCTTAGTAGGGTGCATACAAATGTTTTAGCGAGTATAATTGTTTGTATCGGTCTGTCTATGTATATTATGTATGTATTTACAAAAAAAACTAAGTATTTATATCAGTTGTCTAGTACCCATAACACAAGCTCTGCTTTGCTTTCACACAGCGGACAGGATGGCGCTGTGTGAAATGTCCAGGGGTTATTAATATATTACAAACGAAATGTCCAACTTACATCTGAGATCTGGGGCACTGTGTCCACATCAGGTATAACTGGTTTCATTAGATCCGGAAACAGATTCGGGCCGAAAGGTATCGTAGCAGAGTGCATCGTAATCATTACTCAACTCGCCAAAGTGATATTAAGTAATTAAATCATATTTTATTTTCTATAATATTTATTTATATTTATAAATTAATAAATTAACAGTTAATAATATAATACTTTTGCAGCTAATACGTGCATAATTTCAATTATTTTGACAATTATATCGAAGTGACGGAAAGAGATCATATCTCATTGTAAATAAGGAGTTTGCAATAGACTTTACCATAGACTTATACCAAAGCTACTGGCGGTTAAATTTCAGTTAAGTTGCAATAAAAAATATAGCCTGTATGTTATTCTGATGCATCAATAGTTTCCGACAAGTGAGAATTCACTTGCCGGAAATCGAAACAATTGAGGAAGAAGTATGAGGAATAGTGTCAAAACATTGTTCGATGTAACCTCCAATGACGTAAGTCGAAGACTGTATTAGAATTGTAAGCATTTCTGACGAGAAGTTTCATTAAACGGGCAGTTGGTTGTAGAATAGAATAGAATAGAAAATCATTTATTCAAATAAACTTACATTGAAGCACTTTTGAATAGTCATTACATTTTTTTATCTACCGCTCGTTCGGAAAGCTGTCTCATCAGAAGAAGAACGAGCAAGAAACTTGCGTGTTGCTCTTTTAAATAATTTTATTAAAGAATTTAAAAAATATATACCTTGAATATATTTTTTTAATTCTTACATTATTTAGGGTCTGTTATTGTATAAAAATTGTAGATATTTTAGTTAATGTCCATTCCCCACGTTATTTCGACCATAAAATAAAATTATGCGAACATGATACGAATCCATGCAAATGGCGCATTATTATTACAAATGGGGGACTTCATTTAAATTTGTGAAAAAACTAGGAAACTGTATCGCTTTTATCAATCGGTGCAACAATGCGCGCGCGCACAATGCACCGTGGGGTGACAACGAGCACCAAATCCAGACGGGACATCTATTGACAGATCTAATTTAACCGGCAGTAAGAAATGTTACGTGTATCATTGGTATATTTATTTAAGATAAACATATATTATATGTATGGTAAACAATATTTACCATACAGATTATGATATTTACTAAATATTATACAATAATTACAATCTGAGCTCTCAATGCGCCAAGAGATAACGAACAAAACTTAGGTATATACATTTTTAATAAAATACCTAAGAGAATAAACCTTACTGATGACATTAGACATTTTAAATTTATTTTGAAGAAATATTTATTGGACAAGAATTATTATAGCATAAATGAATTTCTGGATGACGACGATTTGTACGCGTAATTGCAGAAGACAGTGAAACTTCTATCTATTTCTTAAGACCTTTGTAACCTGTACTTCACAAATAAAGTATTTGAATTTGAATTTTAATAAAAAATCAACTGTTAATACTCTGATATTACTATCCCATTATAAAGTTTAGTATGTAGTGTGTAATGAAATATGTAATTTAAAAAAAATATTATTGTTTGTGTACTAAATAAACTTATTTTCTTTCTTTCTTTCCTTTGTACATTATAATATTACCACATTGCATTTGTGGTGTTATATAAAGAAACTTGTAGACATCCTGTTCGCCACGCAATATATGGTCACAATACCTTTTAATGTGCGCACGCGCCATCCCGCGCAGATATTTTATGCAAAAACGCAAATTTCGTTCGAAATTTGAAACGGTCCATTGTTGCCAGTTTGAATGAATAAAAATAATCGCGTTTTTGGGGAGGAAATGCATCAATTGCACAGGTCCTGCTAAGTTTAGTAAAATAATTGGTTCGCATGACTTTCTGTCGATATAATGTCTTATCGATATCGATATATAATAAGAGATGTCTTATGCCGCGGGTGAAGACGTGGGGCTGTGTCTAACGTGCCGATATTATGGCAATAACGATTTATATTTTTATTATTTCAAGTTTGACGCGGTCATCATTTATACTAATAATCAGTAAAAATCGCGGATCTTACCACGTTTTATTTTTAGCGAGTTTCCGATATTTCGGCCGTTGTTTATTCGTGATCATGTCGAAATTTCGGGAACTCAATAACAATAAAACGTGGTAAAATCCTGTGATTTTTATTAATGTACGTATGTGTAACTAATATATTATGAGATATAAGAAGATTTAAATAACAAATAACTGTACACTTACCTCTCATGACGTATCGACTACGTTGCACTGGCCGTGGTCACGAGTTAACTAAAGTAACGACATAAATGTCGCTAGGTGTCAGCAGTTTCTTCAACTACCGTCACTAGTCACTATCATTTGTTCCTCGTTTGAATTGGATGGGGGATTAGAGAATCTTTTTTTTTATAACACAGGGACAAACGAGCATGCGGCTCACCTGATGGTAAGTGATTACTGCCGCCCATGAGCACCCGCAACACCAGGGGACTTGCAAGTACGTTGTCGGCATTTTAAAAAGGAATAAGCTCTTTTCTTGAAGGTTTCAATATCGTATCGGTTCGGAAATACCATTGCTGGAAGGTGATTCCACAATGCGGTTGTGCGAGGCAAAAAGTTTCTATAAAACCGCACTGTGGAAGACCGCCATTCATCCAAATGATCAGGATGGTATTTCAGTTTATGGCGGGTGGTACGGTGGTGAAACTCAGCGGTTATTAATCCGAACAATTCCTCAGAACACTCCCCGTGATATATGCGGTAGAAAATGCACAGAGATGCAATATCACGCCGCAAAGCCAATGGGTCGAGTCTGTCACATAGACGTTGATTACCAATGATTCTGGCTGCTCGGTTCTGAATGAGGTCAAATGGAAGTAGCTGGTATTGCGGTGCTCCCGCCCAGAAATGAGAACAGTATTCCATGTGCGGCCGGATCTGCGTCTTGTATAATTGCAAGCGATGGGCCGCCGTGAAATACCGTCTCACTCTGCTGAGCATACCAAGCTTTTTAGAGGCTATTTTAGCTTGTCCTCCAAATGACCGCAAAACTGAACGTCACTGGATATATAAACGCCAAGGACCTCGAGATTTGGCTTCACATCAAGGAGAGTGTCTTGAAACTGAAGAGATACGGTAAATGGATTCTTTTTAGCGGTAAACGCGCAAACTTCTGAATCTGAATCAAATTCATAAACCATAATCAGTCAGTCCATGGAGAGATGTGCATTATTAGTCACAGGAACTAGTCACAATATTGCTAGAGTACTATGTCAGTACTGTCAGTTTGACTGCTACATAGTAATGTTTAATTCCTTGAGAATTTGTCACGATATCGTCACTTCCTCCACTGGTATCCCGTCATCATCATACATTAAAAAATAAATTTATTTTTATCGTGTTGATATTTTTTTGTGATGTCACATCACTACATTTTACCATTATTCCTGCGCAGGAGTGTGCCGAATTGTATAAAATTAACGACAGTTTTTATGCACGCGACATTGGAATCAGTATGGATTCTGGCATGGTCAAACGGCTTATTGATTTTTTCGATACCGCATCTGGTTTACATGAATTAGGGTAGCCGGTTCAGGATTATGCGAACCATTGCAATTAATGTAATCTCTACAATAGAAAATTAAATTCGTCATCCCAGAGTGCTAACCGTTAGTGCATTTTTCAAGAATAACCGTTTGATAGTAATTTTTGTCAACTTCAAAAAAAGGAGGTTTTCAACTTAATTTTTTCAATGTTTTTATGATGGTCTTCTAAAACTGAAAGAGCTAATACTATAATAGGCATTGTATATCATCATTACATAGTATAAAATAAAGTCGCTGTCGCTGTCTGTCCGTCCCTATGTAAGCTTAAATCTTTAAAACTACGCAAAGGATTTTGATGCGGTTTTTTTTTATAGATAGAGTGATTCAAGAGGAAGGTTTATATGTATAATACATGTACACCTGCGCGAAGCCGGGCGAGTAGCTAGTTAATAATACAATTGAGGTATATCTGCACAACTACATAGTTATATAGATTAGGGTGAAGAGGATTGTTTTTTTTTGTGGATGATAATGGAATGGTGCACCCGCCTGCGCTAACGGTTTACTCTGGCCGGCACCAGTGGAGGATGATAAGATGTCAGTTAGCCCATCGTAACAAATTCACAAAAAAATTATTACGATGGTTTCCAAGAAGAACCGCATGGAGGTCGACCTATCAAGTCAATTGCTAGCATTGGGAATTACTAGGTCCCATTACTAACAATAACCTTCCCTCCGAAACGGGATTGTTGGTACAATGGACTTATGATCCTATTGCTACCAATGTACCATATCAGGTTTACCTCAACGAGGAAAAAATCGTTTCGAATATGACGTGCATTAAAGTTATTAAAATAAAAATAAAAATAAATTTCTGTTGAACTTGTCACGATGGGACCATGACATGTCAACATGACCTCATGCTCATCTTATCGTCCTCCACTGGTGCCCCGCTAGCGTAAACCGTTAGCGCAGACGTGTGCACCATTCCATTATCATTAAAAAAGGTCGTAGGGTTTATAACAAAAAGACTAATGTATTCATTGAAATTTTTGTAATTTATTTTTTGTACTGAAACATGTTTAATCTCATACGTTATTAAATAACATCCATACTCATAGTAACTCGTAATATTTTTATCGCTCGGCGCTCTTCATGACAATATTTAATCTATTACTCTTTATATACTATGATTGTTAATAAAAAAAAACCGACTCTAAAAGAAAAAATCTTAAATTTCCTTTTTCAGTTTATACCAAAATAAAATGGGATTTTTTTTCTTTTAAATTTTTTTCTTTTTTTTTCAAAAGACTTTTAGATACCAATCTGAAAGACTTTTGAAAAGAAAAAGTTTCGTTTTATATTGGTTTATAAATGACTGAAAAAAAAAATTTAAAAATTTACAGTTGAATTGAAAAAATAGTCTTTTTTGAAGTCGGTGTGACTATTTTATATTACATATTATATAGGTATTGTTTTTTATTATATTTCTTCTGTGTACACAGTGTACAGTTTTTATTATTATTATTATTACATATAGTGAA